AAGAATCATGCTTCGTTATTAGGTTTGGACAAATAATATTGATATATTAATAATTAATAATCTAGGTTCGGACATTCTATAAATATTATTTAGCTAACTAAGGTATTTTAATATTACTTGTACTAATATAAACCCTTTAAGTCTTTGTAGTTTTACATAGTGGGACACTAAGTGACTAATATATCACTGACTTTTGATTTGTTTCCTTCAATTAGCTATTGAATTGTAAATGTATTTTAAAAGTTGATAACTTTAGTATTTCTTATCGGTTTTACATATATAATATATCAAATTAATCATCTTTTAATGATCTCCGATTTGACATCCATATTGTATATATGAAATAAATAAATTATATTTATTTTTATAATAATAAAAAATAATAATATGTATAAAAATTCATTAGAAAAATAAAATTATTTCTTAATTAATATATTTATGTTTAATGTAGTTATATGTTGTAACTTAAAAAAATTAGTATAATATAACACATGTAGGTCACAAAAATAAAAAGTGTCATACTAAATATATAAAAATATATATACTTTTATAAAAGATATTTAAAATTTTAACTACTTTTTCTCATTACTTTTAGATTTTAAGAAAAAATTAGCTAGCACCCGTGTAATACACGAGCGTTGTACTAGTTAAAAAGAATAAGAAAAAAAGTAAAAGTAATAGCTGGTTTTACAAACTGCACAGTTCCGTATCTTGTGGTTGTACCATTATCATCAGCAATGTATATAAAATACGCTTTCCTCAAACCAGCAAAAGTCTTACATTAAAACCACAATAGCCATCAATCGCATAATTCTAAAAGGTAAAACCCCAATTAAAGATCGGAGCGCGTGATCTGCGAAACTCTTGGGGGAAAGAGGGGCTCACATGCGCATGCCATAGGTACATTCTTCTAATTTTATCCCTTCTTTTGATTTATTGTGTTCTTTAATCTGTTTGTAGATGATTTTGTTTTTTTCTTTCAAAATTACCTTAAATTTTTGGGTGGAAATTGTGGGATCGTTTCTATTTGAGGTTGTTATTAGTCGTGGATGGTGGGTTCGAGCTTATTTGACTTGTCTTGTTGAATCGAATTGTTGCTGAGGATGATGGATGAGCTTAATTCAAACCCTTTTGTTTGCGTATGTTTGTCGATTATGTTCTGTATTGCTGATGACGTCTATCAGGAATCAAGATCGATGGAACTTAAATGACGTACGAAAATCAATGGAATTAGGGATGTTTCAGTATTAGAAAATAAGTATGATTCATGTATATGTTGAATGTTTCTGATGATTATGTATATGTCTTTGATCGTAACCTTTCTAGTCTGACAGTTCTTCCGGACAAGCTGAATAATTTATGTGTTTGAGTTGTAGCGATTGGTTCGTGTATATGTTGAATGTGTAGATTGCAAGAATGCAATCTGACAGTTTTTCTATCAGAGGTTCGATTTGTAATTTGTCGAGGGAGATGGGATCGTATGAACGTTCTCTTGCTTGTATACCAATTAAGCTTATGGAATATGTTTCAGGTGTGAGCTCGAGGAATAAAGATGGTGAAAGTGACTATGATTGCTCGTGTTACTGATGGCCTTCCCCTAGCAGAGGGGTTGGATGATGGCCGTGATGTCCCAGATTCCGATTTTTACAAGCAGCAAGTGAAGTCTTTGTTCAAGAACCTCTCAAGGGGTCAGAACGAGCCTTCAAGAATGTCGATTGAAACAGGGCCATACATATTCCAGTATCCTTTTAACATGTTTGGTTAAGCTTTTAATGTTTTATTCTCTTTGCATGTTTGCATACATTGATGGTTACTTTGATGCCCATGTTCCAACTGTCATGTATTACCAATTTTTCCTTATTATTTATGTATTTTTTCCGATTGGTTGTGTGCTGAGGATGAAGTTGTAAATTGGTGTATTTAGTTTCTTTCTAGATGAAAAAATCATTCTCGTGCTGTTTCATTTACTTGCTAGTTGGAATGCTTGCTAGTGGACAATGTGGGTAAATTGAAAACATGGGAGTGCACTTTTACTTTAGGCCCCAGTTGGATACAGTTGATGGGAGAATTGAATGAACTGGTGGGCTTTTGGTAATTTGACATTCGCCGATATTTATTGAATTGTACTCCCTGCAAGGTTCACGTGATTCGATAATAACCTGTGAATTTCTGCTGCTAAATACAACACAAGATTTATGACATTCGAGCTAAGTCTTTGTGACAGACATTTGTTTCAAACCTCATTTGGTGTTAGAATTACTATTTCTCTTTCCTTGTCATATGGAAATTGGCGACCTTAACACATGTGATTAGTTATATTATCGAAGGGCGCGTGTGCTACTTGACAATGTGCGATCGTGCTTATCCGAAGAAGCTCGCCTTTCAATATTTGGAAGACCTAAAGAATGAATTCGAACGTGCATATGGAAATCAGATTGAAACTGCTGCAAGACCTTATGCTTTTATCAAATTTGGTGAGTTAAATGCACATGATCTCTCTTTTATGTTTAATTTAGCAACTATATACAGAGTTCTCAAACTGAACGTTTTTATTTCTTATTACTGGCATCTCTTTTATTTGCTAGATACATTTATACAGAGGACAAAAAAATTGTACCAGGACACAAGGACTCAACGGAATATTTCAAAGCTGAACGATGAACTATATGAAGTTCACCAGATAATGACTCGCAATGTACAAGAAGTTCTCGGCGTTGGTGAAAAGTTGGACCGTAAGTGAATACACGTCAAACTTCTCGTCATGTTTAGATTATGCTGGAATATTGTCAGACAAAACAGTATTAGTGAGAGTATAGCATGCGATTCTCAGAAGTTTGTTTCTAATGGACATGATATTAGAAATGACATTTTACAAAATGAAATTCATGGGTGGAGCCTTTTGTACATTCTCAGCTATGCTTTTCTTGTTTTGGAACTTCTCGAGACCTTTGGTACATTGAACTGATAGTATTTATTACCAACCTTTTGCAGAGGTCTCCCAGATGTCCAGTCGCTTGACATCTGAATCTCGCATATATGCAGATAAGGCAAAAGATTTGAATCGGCAGGTTAGTTTTATTTTTTTTCATTTTCATGTGGTAAAATCATATTCTTTTCCAAATCTACGTATAATAAATCATATTCGACACTGATTCTTTCATGTGCGAGTGAAATCCAAATTGGGTAAGCATGTTTTCTGATTTAGGCATCGATCGGTTATTTTCTTCTCCATATTTACCTCAGACTGCTTTAGTTTAACTTCTTACCTTTCGTTTCTATAAGATGCTATCAATGATGTATCGATTAATTACTGTAGGCTTTGATTCGGAAATGGGCCCCAGTAGCTGTTGTGCTAGGAGTTGTTTTCCTCCTCTTCTGGGTGAAAAACAAATTGTGGTGAACTTGAACTGTGCGCCCCTTTTGCAGATAATGAAATGTTACCTTCTTAGTAAAACATTTTGCAGATTTCATATTGCAATTCACCTTTTAATTTTATATATTTGGAAGATTTTGAAGAGAACTAGTTGTGTTTTCTTTTTCTGTGAGGCGCATCGCCTTAGAACATGTTCTGAAAATAGAGATTCTTCTTTCTAAGAGACTATTTATTTTTAGCACCTCAAGGGAAAGCCAGGAACGAGAACATGAAGATAAAAATACTTTATAGATTACCCGTAACAGTTGCAATAGCTTCGGCAGTACAGATGAAAAAGAAAAAAATGCTTAACAAAAAGAAAGAATACGTAAAAGTTTCAAATCATGCGAACCTAAGTATTTCGCCGGAAACAGATTTTGTCATCCGTTTTTACTGGCTTCGCGGGTTTTTGCAGCTGCCTCTGTTCTACAACTAGCAAGAAATGCAAGATTAATTGATAGAGCAAATGTTACAGATATTTTTGTTTCTGAATGAGAATATTAGCGAACAAAAGTTTCAGTTCTTACAAAAAATTGAAGTAAATAACTGGAGAAATGAGCCTATTCAGGTGTTGCGAGAAGTATAGCCGTGCTGAGAATTTTTATTTATTTATTCATTTATTTATTTTTTGCAAAACAGAGGTTTGGTCGTCTCGTTAAAATAATACGATAAAATCTTGAAGTCGTAGCACACCAAACTTCAAAATTCTGGTAAATCAAAACGGAGCAAGAATATAGCACGACTATGTATATGATTGCGCGAGGCTAATAACACACTTGAGCTCAAATAAAACACACTACAACAATGAATCATAGCATAGAGGAGAAAAAAAAATAAAAAAATAAAAAAAAATTAA